TGTAGTAATAACATTATCATCATCATTAGCAGTAGTGATAGTTGTAATAATAACAGTATCATAATTAGTAGTAGTGATAGTTGTAGTAATAGCAGCATCATCATTAGTAGTAGTGATAGTTGTAGTAATAACAGTATCATCATTAGTAGTAGTGATAGTTGTAGTAATAACAGTATCATCATTAGTAGTAATGATAGTTGTAGTAATAACATTATCATCATCATTAGTAGTAGTGATAGTTGTAGTAATAACAGTATCATAATTAGTAGTAGTGATAGTTGTAGTAATAACAGCATCATAATTAGTAGTAGTGATAGTTGTAGTAATAACAGCATCATAATTAGTAGTAGTGATAGTTGTAGTGATAACAGCATCATCATTAATAGTAGAGATAGTTGTAGTAATAACAGCATCATCATTAGTAGTAGTGATAGTTGTAGTAATAACAGCATCATCATTAGTAGTAGTGATAGTTGTAGTGATAACAGCATCATCATTAATAGTAGTGATAGTTGTAGTAATAACAGCATCATAATTAGTAGTAGTGATAGTTGTAGTGATAACAGCATCATCATTAATAGTAGTGATAGTTGTAGTAATAACAGCATCATCATTAGTAGTAGTGATAGTTGTAGTAATAACAGCATTATCATTAATAGTAGTGATAGTTGTAGTAATAACAGTATCATAATTAGTAGTAGTGATAGTAGTAGTAATACCAGCATCATCATTAGTAGTAGTGATAGTTGTAGTAATAACAGCATCAACATTAGTAGTAGTGATGGTTGTAGTAATAACAGTATCATAATTAGTAGTAGTGATAGTTGTAGTAATAACAGTATCATAATTAGTAGTAGTGATAGTTGTAGTAATAACAGCATCATAATTAGTAGTAGTGATAGTTGAAGTGATAACAGCATCATTATGAGTACAACCACTTGGAGTAATACAGCGCCGCCATCACGATGTAAGTGGTGGTCGGTGTGGTAAACCTCTTGGTTGTATTATGACGTTACTTCCCAAAGCCCGAGCGGTTGAAAAGGCTGGGCTCTTCTGTCAGAGACCCAGGTTGGAATCTTCGGTAAGCGTGTTGCCTATACTGCAACAATTGTAAATAGAGGCAGTAACGGCAGTTTTGACATTCCAAAACATTTTCTGGTGCTCATTTTTTTTTTTAAAGCACGGCCTGAATCGGTCGGGTTTTTAAATCTTCCTAAGTTGACATTCAAACCTCTGACCAATTTGTAGGCAAGTCTGCATTCTAACCATTGCCCTGCCGCTGTTGTCATTGTTCTCACGGTGAAGTGGAAAGTCGTATATGGGTTTAGGAATTTACTGCATATAGAATGGGCTCAGTCAAGTTCTGTTCAAATTAAGCCTGTTTCATTATAGACTAACTTCATTATAGACAAACTTCATAATGACATAGCACTGATAACGTGTTGAACAGAATGCCAGTCTGGAGCTAGTGCTGCCACTGCCACCTGTGGTTGGTTGCAGTTTAAACACGGGATCGCTTCCCTCTATTGATGGGGCTGGGTCGACCTACGACGCCCCATACCATAATAACAATCCACGCAGCCAGCAGTAGGTTTCGATCGCGGGACGTTGGAATTACGAGTTGGACTCGCACCGCCTAAGCCACAGCGGGAAACATTTACGGTAATGAGCAGATAGTGGGAGGAACAATCATTGTTTCCCTCGGGGAGTCCAGAGGAGGCCGGCGCTGTTGGTGGTGATAGGTTCTTTTTTTGATAATGGAACCTAATCCTTTGTTAAAATAGGGATGTGGAGAGAAAGGAGAAAATGTAGTAGAACAGACAGACGGATCGACAGACTGACAAACCGACCGACAATTATACAGACACACTGACCCACCGAAAAACTGAGAGATCGAAAACAGACCGTCGAGTAGGCAGGTAGGTAGTTAAACATAGGTAGCCATTCATCTTTCAAACAGTAATTTTCAGACAGAGAGACAGACATGTATGTATGTTTGAATTGATTAGCCCACGCTGGTCTATCCAGCCGAAATGTTAACTAAAGTAAAGGCGGTCAACATAATATCACATCCCCCCCCCCAACCCTCCGTACCGAAACAAACATGTTTATAACGTGCGACGCTTCCCCTCCCCTTTTCCACATCTTCGCCTTTCCAGACTTCTCTGGTTAAAGTTTTGCTTATGATTTTCGATAATGCCATATTTATGCACCGTTTCGATTTATGTTGCTAACTTTCTAGATAGTTTTGTAAGCGAGTGGGTTGTATGACGAAATGTATGAAAGTAGGAAGATGGTTAGGTAAGTAGATGAACAGGTGAGTAGGGTGGGGTGGGGGCGAGGGGGATAGAGAGAGAGAGAGAGAGAGAGAGAGAGAGAGAGAGAGAGAGAGAGAGAGAGAGAGAGAGAGAGAGAGAGAGAGAGAGAGAGAGAGAACACCATAGTAGATCTGGAAAGTTCTAGTTTGCGTCAAGTTGACTTTGTCTGCCTGTGAGTTGAATCTCTTGAGAATAATGCACTGGTGGCTACCTGGGGAATAGTGTTTGGGTTTCATAACTGGAATAGTGTTTGGGTATCATAACTGGAATAGTGTTTGGGTATCATAACTGGAATAGTGTTTGGGTTTCATAACTGGAATAGTGTTTGGGTATCATAACTGGAATAGTGTTTGGGTATCATAGCTGGAATAGTGTTTGGGTATCATAACTGGAATAGTGTTTGGGTGTTTGGGTTTTATCATAAACTGGAATAGTGTTTGGAATAGTGTTTGGGTATCATAACTGGAATAGTGTTTGGGTATCATAACTGGAATAGTGTGTGGGTATCATAACTGGAATAATGTTTGGGTTTTATAACTGAATAAGTGTGTGGGTATTATAACAGGAATAGTGTGTGGGGTATCATAACGGGAATAGTGTGTGGGTATAATAACTGGAATAGTGTTTGGGTATCATAACTGAAAAAGTGTGTGGGTATTATAACAGGAATAGTGTGTGGGTATCATAACTGGAATAGTGTGTGGGTATGATAACGGGAATAGTGTGCGGGTATCATAACTGGAATAGTGTTTGGGTTTCATAACTGGAATAGTGTTTGGGTATCATAACTGGAAGAGTGTTTGGGTATCATAACGGGAATAGTGTGTTTGTATCATAAATGAAATAGTGTTTGGGTATCATAACTGGAATAGTGTTTGGGTATCATAACTGGAATAGTGTTTGGGTTTTATAACTGGAATAGTGTTTGGGATTCATAACTGAAATAGTGTTTGGTATCATAACTGGAATAGTGTGTTGGTATCATAACGGGAATAGTGTGTGGGTATCATAACTGGAATAGTGTTTAGGTTTCATAACTGGAATAGTGTTTGGGTATCATAACTGGAATAGTGTTTGGGTATCATAACGGGAATAGTGTGCGGGTATCATAACTGGAATAGTGTTTGGGTTTATAACTGAAATAGTGTGTGGGTATCATAACGGGAATAGTGTGTGGGTATCATAACGGGAATAGTGTGTGGGTATCATAACTGGAATAGTGTGTGCGTATCATAACGGGAACAGTGTGTGGGTATCATAACAGGAATATTGTTAGGGCATCATAACTGGAATAGTGTTTGGGTTTCATAACTGGAATAGTGTTTGGGTTTCATAACTGGAATAGTGCATTAATGTCGGTTTGTGTCACATGCTGATGAAGGCGACCTAGCCGCAACATTCAATGTGTCGTGTATTATTGCGTTATTCCGAAGCTGACTAGGGGCACTTCTCCTTTGGAGTGATATTTTGTCATGACGTTAATTCAGTGGTAGTTCAAAGATTGTACCTGTTGCCCTGTTGGTGGGCTCATGTTAACGATAGGCAAGGCTAGTGAATGCGCTTGTTTTTGTAGCCACGTCCAGTTGTTGGTACGTCGGGTTTGTACTTGTTCCTTTGGGCGAACTGTTGTCCTCATTCGAAGGTGGTATGTTTCAATCCTGGTTTGGCAGCTCTAGCTGTGGACGTTTTCAATTCGGTTATTTGTGCAGGCTTTTGGTATCTGCGGCACTGTGCATATTGTTGTTGTTGTTTAAGAACTTCATTGGTTATTGTGTTTTATTGGTAAGCTGACTAGTTCTTCAGTGGCGGTCACAATTTTAAGATGATCTAATCAATAATTGAAATGGAAAATAACACCAGCTAATGTTTTAGGGTCTACTAAAGTCGATGAAGTCATTCTGACCTACAATGGTGTCTAACTTCACAATAATAGGGACATATCACTTGATTACTAGTTGGTTTTTAACTTTTTTTTTCCAACTCGGCTACCGCAGTACTCCTTGTTTGGGTGGAATCCCCCCCCCCTCCCCCCCCCCCCAATTGTTTGTTATTGCCTAGTATGTCTTTAACCCACCCTTCATTTCTCTACTCTGTTCTGACATTATAAGGTGTTGTTTCTATGTGGCAAGATTTGTGGCGTTTCACATAAACACACAATTTGAACTTCGAGTAACCGTAATTCGCCTGTTGCTTTCGGTGTAGCTGTTAAAAAAGGCAGACTGTATAGATATTGCATGGCGGTGGCCGCCAGTCGGGGTCTTGTGTCTTCACCATCTGCGTGCTGAGAGGAAATTAAATCCAAACATCATTGGCCTAGCTTGTGTTGAGTGGTGTTGTTGCTAAACGGACTAGTCCCCTCACAGAGACTCCACAGTTCCCCGGTTGTTCAGTGAAGCAGACAGCAAGTTAAGATGTTGTATTTATAGTTGGGAATGAGGAAAACAGAGGAAGAGAGCCGGACAACTGCTACTAACCGCGTTGAAGGACTCCTGCTGTTCGGTTTATAACTGGTCGGGTCAGAGAAACTAAACACAGCTTTTGTCCTGCCGCGGTCTCAACTCTTCACCTGGGGTGGAGCATATTCTTTCAGCGTTCCTTGGTCGGTCTTTGTGGTCAAAGAGGAGTAACTCTTGACGCGAAGCACGTCAAAGGGAAATAACTCATATAACATTGTCTCCTTCAATGAAAGTTCACTTTGTCAGTCCTCCAGACTGGAGATCCGAACCCTCTACGCTGAGTGTTTGAGAATAACAACCAGGAAAATAGAAGAGATTTAGGGCGTGCAGTTTTCACATTAGATAGCAACACCTCTTTCCGCCTTTTCACAGAAGATAAAAAGGATCCAGAGAGGAGAAATGCTATTCGCATCGTTAAAAGATTCCCATTTAATTGGGTGACCTCTGACCCTACGGTCACACGAGTGTGTTTGAATCCTGTTCCATTTAACAAGAGGTTTGTGAGGCCTCTTTCAGACAGTGCCGGGATACGGGCGGACATCTTCGCCGCTCTTCATGCGATAGGGACCGGGGTGTTTCTGTGCTTTACGACCAGGCAGTAGCAGAATTCAATGGTGCGAACTTGATTTTGATGGCCGCTGTACGTTGCCCGATCTCTGCAGTCTTTGCCCGGGCTTCTGCATCATTCCACATCTGTGCTTGTGTATGCTCGTCTCCGGCTAATGTCGATGCGGGCCCGTAGTTCTGCGGCCTCGGCTAGGTTACAGCCCTGGCCAGGTTTTCACGCTGTCCCCGACTGAATCAAGCCAAAAATTGTTTAAAAAACGGGAGTCTGACTTATTATTCACGTCTGCTCGAACATCAAAAGATGGGTGTGGTTTGTAATCAGACATGCTAAAGGGAATTAATCTTCTTTGACTCATTGAGTAAAGATGCGAAAATTATTGCCTCCCATGTCTTTTGTCGTGAATAAATTGTCCGGATCGGGTCGAACTATGTCCGTGAACTGCCCCTATGATGTTGTACTCCGAGTGTGGGACAGCAATCAGGAGCAATATATCTTGTGTGAAAAGGATTTCACCAAATACTGTCTAGTTCTCTTTGTTTCACATTAATCAGAACAAACATTTGATTTCATTTAGTTGTCACATAGCTGATCGGTAGTTCTAGTGCTATTGTTCTGTTAACGAGCTGATTGTCTCATTCCACACAACGTGTTCGGATCTGTTGTTCTTGTAGTGTTCCCATTTGCAGCAGAACGTTTAGCTTGTCCTGCCATATCCTCTTCTATCACCCCCCCCCCCCTTTGCTCCCCCAGCCCCGCGTGGGACTGACTGCTGTTCCAGCTATAGTGTCAGCCCACTCCCCTTCTTCCTTCTCTTTGGCCGTCGCCGACTATAAACTTTGGCCGTCGCCGACTATAGACTTTGGCCGTCGCCGACTATAGACTTTGGCCCTCGCCGACTATAAACTTTGGCCCTCGCCGACTATAAACTTTGGCTGTCGCCGACTATTAACTGTGATGGACTTACTGAAGTTCAACCCAGCCAGAACCGCACAGCGAGCAACAAACATCCGGTGACACAAGGTGCAACCAATCGGATGAGAATCACTCGGGCACAAGTCCCAGGAACCCCCTTCAGCCGTCATGTTATTTTAGGGCCCCCGACTCCAATGGGGATGTCTGCTTGTTCGTTCTTATCTCAACTTAAGTCTTGCTCCGGAACTTGACTTTTGCATGAGCATTCACTGTACAGGTCTGGTTTACTTGTGTGCAGACTGTTGGTTGCTCGCCTGTCGAGCAGATGCACTCCAGCTTTGAAGGAGACATCCCTTAACTAGTCGCATTGAAGGACACGCTTATTCAAGGGGCAGTGGGTCAGTTCTCCCACTTCCTTTCCGGAACCCACACGGCAGCTAACTTATGGTTCTCTGGAAGCCACACGGCAGCTAACTTATGGTTCTCTGGAAGCCACACGGCAGCTAACTTATGGTTCTCTGGAACCCACAAGGCAGCTAACTTATGGTTCTCTGGAACCCACAAGGCAGCTAACTTATGGTTCTCTGGAAGCCACACGGCAGCTAACTTATGGTTCTCTGGAACCCACAAGGCAGCTAACTTATGGTTCTCTGGAACCCACAAGGCAGCTAACTTATGGTTTTCTGGAAGCCACACGGCAGCTAACTTATGGTTCTCTGGAACCCACAAGGCACCTAACTTATGGTTCTCTGGAACCCACAAGGCAGCTAACTTATGGTTCTCTGGAACCCACAAGGCAGCTAACTTATGGTTCTCTGGAAGCCACACGGCAGCTAACATATGGTTCTCTGGAAGCCACACGGCAGCTAACTTATGGTTCTCTGAAAGCCACACGGCAGCTAACTTATGGTTCTCTGGAACCCACACGGCAGCTAACTTATGGTTCTCCTGAACACACACGGCAGCTAACTTATGGTTCTCTGGAAGCCACACGGCAGCTAACTTATGGTTCTCTGGAAGCCACACGGCAGCTAACTTATGGTTCTCTGGAAGCCACACGGCAGCTAACATATGGTTCTCTGGAATCCGCACGGCAGCTAACTTATGGTTCTCCGGAACCCACAAGGCAGCTAACTTATGGTTCTCCGGAACCCACACGGCAGCTAACTTATGGTTCTCCGGAACCCACACGGCAGCTAACTCTTGCGGAAGTTGTTTGAGATTTCCACCGGCGGCTGTAAGTTTAATGCCTTGTCTTTCGGGCAGTTTGAGCTTTGAAATGACTTGCTTTTATCATCGTCAGGTTGGGGTACATGCTTCTCTTTCTAGCCAGCACCTAATAGTATTTTCACAGAGAATGTGCAGCAGAGCTTTAGTTCCCCTCTCCGCATCTGAAACAGTCAGGGTTCTGAAGACTGGCACTGAAAGTTCACATCAGTGGAGAGGCAAATTAGAATTTATTCAGGCAATAATCACGTGGAGACCAACTAGGCTATGACCTAGGTTGCCGATGCTTCCTCCACCTGTCGGAAGACTTGGGCTCAGGAAACAGACATAAGGCCCTGCCATGTTTAGCAGCGATGACCGGTAAAGGTGATTAAGGGTTGCCGTAAATGGGGTTTCATCCCTGTGACCGCAAAGCGACCAGTCGTCTGCAGAAAACGCATCGGTCACAGCATGAACTCCACCGCCCCATCGAGGACCTTCTGAGATTTCGAGAAAGCTGCAGACGTGAATCGACATCGCAATCAGAAACCGAACTGATCATCTAAATGTTCAGACTCTGGTCGCATTCAGTCTTGTCCATCTCTGGTAGAATCCATTTGAACCTGTTGGGATCACTGCTCTTGGGAATTCTTTCGTGAAATAATTTCAATAGTTTTCTCATTTTGAATGAGCTACAGGCACACCAGGTAAATATGCTACTTACAAAAAAAAAAACACACACACACGCATAGCTACTGAAAGAAACATAATTGTGTCGTAATTTTAACATTCAAAATCTTTGTAATTTAATAAGTGAAATTATTCAGATTGCCCCCCCCCCCCCCCCCCCCAAAAAAAAAAAAAAAACCCATTAGGGTTCAACTAATCAATTGAAATTTTTTTGTATGCATCAGGGTTATTGATAGTTTTTACGCGTACGGGCTTTCCCGTCATCTAGTAAAAAGTGCCATTAGATAACTATTAGTTTTTGTTGTTGTTTTTTTTAAACAATATATTTTCAATTCCCAAGTGGGCAATAACAACATTAATGGTTTCTGATCCATTTCCGTTAAAGATGCACTCACGCTTACACCCCCCCCCCCCCACACACACACACACATCACACACGCGCGGGCGCACAAACTCACACTGTAGGATGTGCTGCATGTTCAAGTTAGTAGCCATATTTCTCTAGCAGCCTAGGCTAAACATGGGAAGTACTGTAACGCACAGTGCGTCGCTAGAGACACTGAAAATATCAGATTAACGTGTGTTGCGTTGGTGGAGATACACATTGTTAATTAGCATTTTTGGGAGTAATACAGATATGAGTGTTGCCATATTTAGACCCAAGAAGTTTAGGCCGACACACACCTACGGGCCGACAGACACCTACGGGCCGACAGACACCTACAGGCCGACAGACACCTACGGGCCGACACACACCTACGGGCCGACAGACACCTACGGGCCGACAGACACCTACGGGCCGACAGACACCTACAGGCCGACAGACACCTACGGGCCGACAGACACCTACGGGCCGACAGACACCTACCCATCTCATACCGCGACTCCCTGATAATTACTCCAGCCCACTCTAAAACATTCATATCTGAGGTTATAGTCCTATTATGGATTTGAACCCTACGCTCGTCGAGCATGGGGCAGGCGTCGTAGTCCAAAACCACCCCAGCCTGCATTGCCGGTAAAGCGCTGAGAAAAAATGAATGCGATGAAATAAAGGAAGGAGAAGCCATTGGTGTGCAGGCGGGTATGTGTGTGGGAACGCGCGTGGCTTGACCCATTCTGTGAAAGGCTGTACAATTGTGCGCAGAGATGCGGAAGTGTGGTCAATCGTCTTCTCCCTGGCGCCCTGTGTCCAAGATATGGGCACAGATACAAGTGGTGTTGTCTCCAGCGCTGGTCCCTTTGTTTTTTGGGTCATCTGAGCGGTCAGCCCCCACAGACATTTAGACAACAGAATTCACAGTTCACTGCCTTGTCTGCCTTTTCTCGCCATGTCCACGTCGTCGGCCAGCATCTCGTTCTAACGTCTGCATGTCTCCTGCGTCAAGTTGACCTTGTATTGGGGACCATACCTCCTCTCTGCTTTCATCTAATGTGTGTGTGTGTGTGCGCGCGCGCATGTGTGTGTGTGTGTGTTAACTACAAATAATGCTTTCGTTATAATGGAAGTGTGCGCTGCGATCGTTATATTCCGCATTGGGTCGTGAATACCCCGAGATCGAAACTCCGACTGCAGCGCTCTTGTTTGCATTTTGTGACTGTCAAATAGAACAGATACGATAGTCTTAATAAAGTCACACACATATTCACATAAACTCACACACATATTTTCATAACCTCACACACATACTCACGTGAATTCACACACAGACTCAGATCGATGCACACAGAGCATATATACATATATACAGTGCACATTTAACTGATATGTTATAAGGGTCTTAGAGAGCGAGTAAACAGTCAGGATGGACAAGTGGTTATCACCCCTGGAGTGAGTGGTGCAGCGAGGAGTTACCCAGGAACTTGGTCAACGCTTAACACTCAGGGGAGGGGAAAGACGGACATACAACCAGACTGTTACTGGTGCTACCAGCATTAAAATTCATCACTGGCTGCTGAAGATGGGCACTGAGCGCCTGTCTGCAGTTGTACAATGTATACTTAGATATGAACAGCCTGTCTGCAACTGTACAATGTATACTTAAATATGAACAGCCTGTCTGCAAATGTACAATGTATACTTAGATATGAACAGCTCGTCTGCAACTGTACAATGTATACTTAGATATGAACAGCCTGTCTGCAACTGTACAATGTATACTTAGATATGGTCAGCCTGTCTGCAACTGTACAATGTATACTTAGAAATGAACAGCTCGTCTGCAACTGTACAATGTATACTTAGATATGAACAGCCTGTCTGCAACTGTACAATGTATACTTATATATGAACAGCCCGTCTGCAACTGTACAATGTATACTTAGATATGAACAGCCTGTCTGCAGCTGTACAATGTATACTTAGATATGAACAGCCTGTCTGCAGCTGTACAATGTATACTTAGATATGAACAGCCTGTCTGCAACTGTTTAGTGTATACTTGGGTCTGCTTTCTTCTCCAGGAACTGGCAGGGGAGATCATCCTGACGTTGGGCGAAGCTTTTGAGATTGCATATCAGATGGTGCTGAAGGAGAGAGCAGAGCTGGCCGCAGAAGAAATGGACAAGTTGAGCGCCAGCGACGGGGACGATACCACCTCGGTCTCCTCCAAGACCTCGGTGCACACTGTATGATCAGGTAGGTGTCAGAGCCTGAAGTCTCTTGGTTTGTTGTAATCTCTACCAGTCATCGTTTGGGAATCACTGTCTCCCCCAATCATCAAAACGCCTCTGATTATCTAGTAGAAAGGTACCAAATCATTTAGATCATCATCATCAATATCATAATATTCTTGTCATGGGGTAATGTGTGTTACCTCCCTTGTCTAGAGGTAACAGTTTGGAATGGCTGTCCAAGTTCAATCATAAAACGGCTTAAAGCACTTCAGAAAAGAGCTGTACGCTTAGTCTGTTATAATCATGGAAGAGACAGTTCCAGAAATATAAAGACCTTAAGTTACTACACTTCCATAAACGACTACTTTTCAATAAGGCCAAAGTTATTCACAAAATCTTATCAAAAATGCTGCAGATTACCTTTGACCATTCTTCAAGTATAATGGGCGACATAGCAAACGCCTAAACGTATTACACATCCCTAAACCTAGAATAGACTTGCACAGAACAAACTTATCGTACTCTGCAGCTCATCTATGGAAGCAACTTCCACAACAAATCAAAAATATCAACAACATCTATAAATACAATTGGAAGCTTTTTGAATATTATCTCACTACAGACTACATGGCCCCTTAGAAGATAATAGTTTCCTAAGAATACTGTTGATTTCCACCAGGATTTAATTCATTGAGAATTATAATTGTTTTAAAATGTAGACATACCTAGAGCTCATTGTTACAAAGATATTGTTGATGTGCCTATTAATTAGGGCTGTACCGAATAGTGATTTTCACTATTCAGCCGAATACGAATAGCTGGACCAACTATTCGGCCGAATACGAATACGAATAGTGAATCATCATCATCAGGTGCTTTGCCAACGAGCAAGGGCGATTATGCCTCTCCATAATCAGCGATCTCCTGCAGCATGTATCAGTTCGTGTGCTGACACACCTCCATGCAGCATGCAACAAGACTGTCAAGAAACTTCTATCGTTGTCTTCCTCTGTCCCTCCTTTCACAGTTCTTTCCAGTGGTCACAACATGTTCCATTTTCCCTCATCTTATAACATGGCTGAAAACGGATGACTGTCTCCTTCTGATGTCTACTGTGTAGTTGTCTTCGGGCTCCCATCTCTATTAAAACGTCTTGGTTACTTTTTGTTTGGCTGTCCAAGGTATTTTAAGCATTGTTCTGTAAAACCACATCTGTGAGGCCTCAAGAAATTGTTTGGCCTGCCTACCGATTGACCAGGACTTAGAGCCACATGTTAAAACTAGATGTATGTAGCAAGCAAGAATTCTTTTTCTAACCTTCAATGACAAGGATATATTGCATAAGATGTTCTTCATTTTATAAAATGCAGTTTTTGCCTGTCCTATTCTGTTTCTTATTTCAGTAATTCATCTTCCATCTGATGTTATCCATGTGCCCAGATACTTAAATTTATGTACTTGTCCCAAAATAAAACCATTGACTTTTATTACACATTTAGGAATAATTATTTTCTTTGATACCACCTTCTGTCTTCCCACTATTCAAAATGAGGCCCATTCTTCCACTTTAGTGTATAAAATAGATCTAAAAAAAAAAAAACATCCATAATGTCAAATGAACGTTGAAATTTTACTTCACAAAATGTTGTACAGAATAGTGAATGGACATTTAAAAACATTTCATGTCAGTCAGTCTGTGGTAGCTAATACTTAGGAATGAAAGTATTCTTAGTTTTATAACAAGTAACCAAACTTGTAAATTGTCACTGACAGCTTAGTTAATCCATGAAAAAGCTATTGTCAGCTTCTAGAAGGCATTTCCAGCTGTACTAAACAGATGTTCACTTGGTACGCGCGTAGGTGGTGCACAAAGAAAACGCTTGACAGTATGAACCAAGGTGGAAAATCTTGATATGTTTATTTTCCACCAGTCAAGAAACGGGTGTAAGTAAGGTAATCACTATTCGTATTCGGCCCTACCGCAACTATTCGGCCGAATACCGAATAGTTATTCGGCCCCGAAGCGAATACAAAGCGAATATTCGGTACAGCCCTACTATTAATACTACTTTTATTATTATTATCTGCTAAAACAATATGTGCAAAAATAATGTATTCATGACGTGAGGCCAGAAGGGCAGAATGTAAGACGGGCCTGTGTGCTAAATTCTTAACCCTTTCAAAATAAAGTTTGTTCGTTCGTTTTTTCATTCGTTCGTTCGTAATGTGTGTTGCTTCCCTTGTCTAAAGGTAATTTGTGTTGCCTTCCTTGTCTAGAGGTAAAGTATGTTACCTCCCTTGTCTAGAGGTAAGGTGGTGTTACCTCCCTTGTCTAGAGGTAATAAGTGTTGCCTCCCTTTATAAGTAATATGTGTTACCTCCCTTGTCTTTATGTAATGTGTGTTACCTCCCTTGTCTATAATGTAATGGTTTTTTTTTTGTGTGTGTGCTTATCTGTAACACATTATTGACGAATGCAGTTTTCAAGGTGATCTCTGGGGATCTTTGCTGAAGCTGTGGAGTGCGACGCTCTCCTCTCGGCAGGCGGTATGTCGTTGTACGGAGAAACATCTAGCCATATGGGATAAAAGCCAGTGCAATGAAGTCGACCCGCTCAACTATAACTTTAATTTCCTTGTGGGCAAAATAATGAAATTAATGAATAATTGGATCCCATATGGCAACACCCAAACTAGTACCTCAGTATTCCTCTAGTAGACGGCGACAGGAATTCCTAAGGAAGGTTTGCCGCGCAGGTCTGCCCTCAAATCAAGAACCGTCTTCCCGCTTCCTCACAAGAAGATTCATGGGCGCTAATGTGCTCGCAGCGCCACTCAATGGCAGACATTAGCGCCCCTTCTAGACAAGAAACTGATGTTTTGTGATGCACACACCAGCAATTCTACGCTCCCCAGACGGGCCTGTTTGACCAGCTCATCGGCGACTGTTGTCAGGACATAGTCACCTCCTGGCACTTCTCCACAATGACGAATGAGAAAACTGGGCAAACTTCTCTGTCACAGACGACAATTTGGCGGGCATGTCTTTAGTCGCTCCAGAATCTCACAAATGAGAAGCAATAGTGTCCGTGTTTCCTCCATAATTCTCTGTCTCTCTCCCTTCCCTTTCCCACTTGTGTCTGTTTCTGTGGGTGTAGGTGAGATTAGGGACTTGGACTGTTTAGGCATACAAATACACAGCTGCTCTGTTGCCTAAAATGGGAAATATTATAAGTATATTTGAGTACAAGCATCCGTAAACATTAGACAGTTAAACTATATTAAAGTGCTGTGTGCGAACTGCTCTCTCTCTCTCTCTCTCTCTCTCTCTCTCTCTCTCTCTCTCTCTCTCTCTCTCTCTCGTTCTCTCTCTCTGTCTCTCTCTCTGTCTCTCTGTCTCTCTCTGTCTCTCTCTGTGTCTGTCTCTCTGTCTCTCTCTCTCTGGTCTGTCTCTCTCTCTCTCTCTCTCTCTCTCTCTCTCTCTCTCTATGTGTATCTATATGTGTGTGTGTGTGTGTCTCACAGTCACATAACACACGTATAAACCAATACTCAATAGAGTGTTGTGCTGCTGCGATGGAACAATGAAGTAAAATGGAAGAAACATGTTATAATTGAGGTGAAGGAGAAGACGCACTGTCCGGTTGCTAGTGGTAATTACAGAGAGAAAGAAGACAACAGTTAGGGAACAGGTGTTTATCTATCTACAGGCCTATGTGCGTGATGAGTTCTGTTTCTCCTTAGATCTTCGGTTTCTTTAATTAAGAAATACAAAAAGTGTTTTCCCCCGAAAGGAAATATGCCAAATTCCCGTTCAAGAAATGGTTTGATTGTCTGTTAGGGAAAGGTAAATTTTTTAAAGTTAGTTTAGAGATCCCCAGTGAAGGTAGTTTGGAAATTTATCTTTTAGTGTAGATTAGGATTGTCTGCTGGCCTAGATTTAAATTCTCATTCAAGGTGGATTTAGTTCCCTGTGATTGTAGGTTGAAATTTTCTGCGAGGATGTGAATATATTTATATTCACAGTGAGCGTACATTGAGATTCCCTGTGAGAATAGATTCATCCTAAGGGTGGGTTTAGATTCGTTTTAAAGGATGGATCAGATTCTTGGTGACTGTGAGCATAGATTGATTCTCAGTTTTCGGTTATTTTGGCGAGGACACACACTGTGAAGTTGTGAACACAAAAAGGAAAGGGGTGGGGGGGGGGGGTCGGTAATAAACAAAATTAGTAAAATATATTTAAACTTGTTTTTATTGGAGGACCTGGGAATAAACAATGCAGTGTTTGTCCTGGATAAAAGAGCCCAGTGGATGACACCAGATGGATCTCGGAAACTAATGACCCTGTCCTCGCTTGGCCGTAATCTGAAATTTAGAGGTCTTCCATATTGTTCCTTTTGTGCCCATATGGGAGGCACTCGGAGCTGGGAGATCCCCGCTGTCGTAAATCATTCTCTCCCATTGGCTGAGGACATGGCCGATGACTCGGGGAATATTGGCCCTATCAGTTGTGCCCCCTTGTTAGTTGTTTGAGATTATTGGTTTCTTAGCAGTGTATGCCTGATTGTACAAAGGAGCTGGGGATTCTGCTATCGAATCCTTGCTGTTCGTCATATTTTACATAATGGGTTTTCTTCTTCTGGAGACTCGAGAGAAAAATGGGGAAAAAAAAGGGGGGGGGGGGTCTGAAGGAGACACATTGACAGACAAAGCAAAACAGATAGACATAAATCAGTCCGGGCCGGCCCTGGTGTGGGGGTACAGGCTTACTTAAATGTGGGCTACAGGGGCCAAGAGACAAGGGTTTGCTTTGATGGGCACAGTGCTCCTCTTGAGTGTTGGGGCGTGAAATTTCTTCTGATTGTGTTGCCCTTCTTCAAGCATGGCTCCTGTGCTGCAGTAAATTTAACTTCATTAATCTGGGAGTTGACGGGACTGAGCATGGCGTTCTCTGGTGTTCTCTGATGTCCCAGTCAGTGGGTTACGTAAACTCACTCAGTGGCGGTGGCTGCATGA